GAAAGGGGAACAATATGGGAGCGAGTCCTGAAGGACAGCTTTGGGTAAAAAACAAAAATTACGGAACAATTAATACTCACTGTCATATAACAGTCCTTTTTAAACCCCATGCACAGCAAAAGGGTAAAACGACATCATCTTCTTATGTTTCTTTCGCACTTATAAGAAAACATACTCTCACTGGCACTCATTGTAGTGCGCAATAGGGGGAAGACGCAGCCGACGATTCTCTCGATCTTTCTCATTTGTCTGCTCGCTATTCTCACTCCATCGCTAGTTGCTTCATGCTACGTTCGCCCTGTCTTGCTGTGTCTCAATCGGTCTCGATCGCTCTCTTTTTCTTTTTCGACACTTCGTTGCCTACTTGCGTGACGTTACCGTTACATTTTTAAAAGAGCCTAAAGAAGTTTTACATCAAAAAACAAGAGAGAACGCTATAGTCATGTGACCGACTACCAAATACCCTTACATAGAAGGCGTAACATGTCATATTGCACAAAAATATTTTGAAAGGGGAACAATATGGGAGCGAGTCCTGAAGGGCAGCTTTGGGTAAAAACCAAAAATTACGGAACATTTAATTCTCATTGTCATTTAACAGTCCTTCTTAAACCCCATGCACAGCATATGGGTTAAAGAACATACGCATAATAGTGGGCAAAAAAGTGGGCGCGGCACAAACTTGCGCTACATACAAATATCAAGTATCTACATTTTTCCCGAGAACTCGACGCCTATACAGACGGACCGACATTTTGATTCAGAATATTTACCTTATGGAGTCGCAAGAGCCTTCTTCCACCTGTTGCAAACTTTTCAACAGTTATAGCCCCGGAAATAAAAACAGCGTTGCTATAATTGTTTTGTAACTTAGCTTATACAGATTTTTCTCTTTCCAAATTCCGTTATGTCGTTTTTATAGAAAATTCGATAAAACTTTAGAATTACCATTACCATCGCTGACTTTGTGAGGAAAAACTAACAATAAGAAGCAATAGAATAACAAAAACTATGAAATTGCGTTAGTTTGTTTTTCTGATGAGTTGCTTTATACAGTTGAGTTATTACTGTTTATATTGTTTTTGTACACCCCTGCAGAAGGTTTTATAATTTCAGTCAGAAGTTTGCAACGCAGTGAAGGAGACACCTTAGACCCCATAAAGTATAAGTTAACACTTCTGAGGGGTAACAACAGTCGGTAGAAATCTTGGGTGATTCTTGGATCACCCAAGTCTTTCTAGATGCCGACTCAGCATACCCGCCTTTGGGGGCCGTGCCTGGATCCCATTGGTTCCCGGTATGGTGAGTTATGCTCATTTTGCGATCGTTAGCATTTCCCACTGTCATGCGGTCGGCCTGCCGACTAAGCACCCTACTGTTTTATAATCATTTGAATAAAGAGCACTTAGATCCGTAAACTTTACTCCGGCTATCGACACCTTATTATTTCCATTCGCCCACTGAGCTTAGGGCCAGGGGTATAGGTATATAAACTTTATTTTACACTTCATCAACCACCCTACCGGTGGCACACCATCAGCGGCCACCTGGGACCAGCAGCCCGGCCGCCAATTCTAACCTATCTTGAACCGCTACTACTCATCAAGCACCCTACCGGTGCCACCTCATCATCGGCCGGATCTGGAGCAGCCTTACCACCGAGCAACCGACTACAAGATAACTTATATATATTCTCGATCAGCATCACGATCTAAATCGAAATACGTCCGTACGTCTGTCCGTCTGACCGTTTCTATGTAAACTAGTCTCTCAGTTTTAAAGCTATCTTGCTGAATATTTATGAAAAGTTGTGTAGTTATTCCACGCAGTATACAAGTCAGGCCGGATCGGACGACGATATCAGATAGCGAAATATCGAAATATATCGGATAATAAAATAAAAAATTATCACGCCGTTGTTTTTAATCATACCGACTTGATTTCTTCCAGATAGTGTTTTTCAACTACTATCAAATTTCTCATAGAGCTGCCATAGGAAAGATCGAAAAATATAAGTTAACGCGGTCTCCCAGCAAAACGGAAGTTCCCAAGCTGATCATGCATAACCGTCGTGACAATAATGCAAGGCCAGCGACACCTGCGGACATTGCACGACGATGTTGCCAAAATCCCAAGCTTCGGTCATGCACTACGATGCAACGGCGGCTACCCAACACCATGTATGGGCAGCCGGGTCAGCACTTTCAGGGCATAGAGCTAGCTTTCTTTAGAAGAATTTATGTACTTAGCATTTACTTTGGAAATAAATCGTGATGGTCATCACCTCGCAAGCCCAAAGTCTTCTAACTCGAGTAATCCCCGCGTCTTAAAATAAATCCTTAAAAGGACATTTTATTAATTGGCACACAACGCGTCGTAAGACCCTCGACCTTTGTACAAAAAAATACGCGATCGTAAGACCCGCGATTCGACGTTATTTAAACATTAAACATTAAAAAAAAAAAATATTTAAAACGCGTTAGATTCGTTTTATAAAAACATCACAGCAACCTAAACCCAAAAATAAAAAAAGGTAAAAAAAATTTTTTAAGTTAAACCGTTTTATGTAAAACATGTACTAAATGTACTAAAAGCCTAAAAATAATATAAAATATATACAGACGTGGGAATTATAAACATATGCTTAGACTAGACTAAAAGTAAAACCGTGGGGCAAACAAACATTTTAATCAACGATTGTACACAATTGACTTGCCCCACGGTTTTATTTTAGTCTAGTCTAAGCATATGTTTATAATTCCCACGTCTGTATATATTTTATATTGTTTTTAGGCTTTTAGTACATTTAGTACATGTTTTACATAAAACGGTTTAACTTAAAATTTTTTTTTCCTTTTTTTTTATTTTTGGGTTTATAAAACGAATCTAACGCGTTTTAAATATTTTTTTTTTAATGTTTGAGGTCTGTTCGTTAAGCGCTGACATACATGCTAGAAAGAGAGGACTAACAATGTATAAGAATTGAGTAGAAATTAGAAATTTGGAAAGAAGACTCTTGGGAAGTCACTGACTTGGGAGTTCAGAAAGCGCCTGGCAAACGAACAGAACTTGCTGCTGAGGATTCTAGTTAAAGAAATGGAAAAGACAAACGACCCTCCGACATATACATGTTGTGTTAATAGCCTTCTCGAATGCCTGCAGATTATAAGCTCTGCTCTGTGTTTTTGATGCTTTTTGTTCCCGTCGTTTCTGTAATCGACCATTTCTATCAACTTCACTTTCTTTAGCTCGTTTTGCTTTAATATTTTCTTTCGCTTTTTGAAACCTTCGTTTACGCTGTGTTGCAGTTTCTTTCATAATTATTATTATTATTTAGCTTACCCCGTTTGTTTTCAGATTGATCTGAATTAATCTGATGTGTTTGACAGTGACAATGATAGCCATGTTGATGGGATTGATAAAACCTAAGTTATCCGCCATTTTGCAGAGGCCGCCATCTTGAATTTTAATTTTATTTAGTAGGGGAGATGTGGGGGTTGTGGGCATAGTTTTGTTTTTGGCTTATAATTACCGAACTAGTGCATATTATTTGGACATATGGATATCTGTGTAAAGCTAGAGATCTAAGCTAACTAAATATTAAGAAACATTCTTGATTTTGTCATGCGAAAAAATTTCATATGGACTTTTGTAAAATCGTAATTTTCAGCTAAAATTTTTTTTGGGGGGTTGTGGGCACCCTGGGTAAAAATGATACAAATGGTATAATATGGAAAAAAAAAACAGCAACCAATATCAACAAACTGACAATTTATTTATTTCAAAGACTACATAGGCGTTATTCATCGTCGGAAACACAATTTTGACATGTATAATGACTGCCCCGCATGTCCACATATTTCGGATGAAAGGCTCGATCGCAGATGTCACAATTGAGTGATAATCCCTCTCAGTGGGAGAGGATCCTTTTCCAAGGGCCTAAGATTTCTACAAGAATGTTCTAGAGGGTTCCAAACAAATTTTGAAAACAATTTTACAAGAAATTGTAGGTAATAAAAAAATTTGCCAAAAAAAAACGGGTGCCCACAACCCCCCCAATTTTGGTGCCCACAACCAACTTTCGCAGACATTTTAAGAAGTAATTAAAAAATGTGTTTGCATAAATTTTTTGGTTCAAATCGATATTGTTCCATTTAGTATAATGCTTTGACTAAATAAAAATGCATTACACTTGCCTTTTTAATCGATTCACTTTAATTGATACACTATTGAAAATCTTTGAATAAAGTTTCACCACCTTTTCCAAGCACAAAAAAAACCAATTCGTTCATTTCAAAAAGCGAACGCGTTCATTTACTTTGATATTTGGCATAAATCATACATAGGGTAATTGCTTGCGAATGACATTACCAACAAAAGTCAATCTTCATTTTGTGAAAATATACGTAGGGGTGCCCACAACCGACCCATGCCCACAACCCACACTTCTCCCCTACATTTATCTTGAACATTGTATGTTTTCCATAAAACGGTTTAACTTAAAAAGTTTTTTTACCTATTTTTTCTTATATAATCTTTATATAGTTTACTACCAGTTTTTCGAGTGTGGCAGCCTTGTTACTGTACGTTTACACTAAGTCACATGTTTCTGGTTAAAGCGAGACAAATTAATTTTTTGATCAAGGCTATGACGCCATAACCATAATCATAATCAAAAGAAATAGCAAAGAAATCATTAACATAAAAAATTTTATAAACATTTAAATGCAATTTTGAAATAAATTAATAACCTAGTGTTTGGAATCAACGCAGAATTAGCTGTTTTTGTAAATGCGCCATATATAATATTAGGGGCACTGTCTATCTTCAAATTAAGGAAATTAAAAAAATTAATCCTCATTAAAGTATTTAACCTTTAAAAAATATTTTGATGCAAAAATTTTTTATTTTATTTTACAAATACATAGTAATATTGACAAAAATTTTGGCCATAGGTGATCTGCTTAAAAGAAACTTAAGCTAAGGAGATGCAGACTTACCGTTTTGTAAAAGCCAATTGATCCAGCCAATCATAAGCGTTTTGTTTGCGCTTAATGTCTTGAACGAAGAATTACAGTCTTTTTAACTTCCGTAAGAAGAAACATTGATTTTTTATTAGAGCATAGAAATCGGTTCTTTGATAACTTTTTAAAGTCAATCTAAGACATTTTATTGATGATAGGTATTTGATTGATGTCAGCCTGCGTATGTCCACAAATAAGTTTTAACCAAAAAAGTATCATAATATCCTGATTCTTAGGTCCTTCAGCCTCTATCATCTGCTTGCCATTAAAAATATTATCAGGGGAAAACTTATGGCATTATTCCAAACTTTAAATGATTGACATAAATAACTGTCAAGAGCTTTAAAATCTTTGCTTGAATTCATGGAGGATTGGAAACTAGAAAAAAAAATTTGCATGTGTTATAATGTATAAAATTGAAATAAAGTCTTAATGTTCAATAACAAATTTTGTATAAATATGAATGACATTCAATAATTGGATTTTATTTTTTGTAGGGCTATTATTTGCATTAAATATCTAACATAGGGAGAACAGGAAACTAGTGAAGAGATTAAAGAAATCTTTATATGAGAGTAATGGCGTTCAAACATTGTTTAAAGATCCTTAAAGAGCGCATAGCTTCTCTTAGCAAATCATTCGATCCACTCCGCTAAAGCCTGTTGTAATAAATAAGCACTGCACAACTCCAAAATAAAACTCTCAGACAAATCAGAGTTTCCTTGAATTTATTTAGAAATGATTATACATAAGTCAGTAGGTCAGCTTCTTCGGTTAATGCTTACCGAGTACGAACTCTACAATTGGTCAACATTGGCTTGCAATGGTCCATTTTCTGTCCAACTGTGAATGTGTCTCAAGCATATCACTTTGCGCGAAAACTTTAATTTAGTTAATGACTAGGTTAGGTCAGGTAAATGATGTCATGAATTTATTTTATACTATTGAGGTTTCTTATTTATCCCGGGCTCTTTATTAGCACCCACCCTGCCTGGCTCTAAGAAGTTCCAGTTTGAGATTTCCTATGCCCCAAAGTTTATACTCCTTACTTGGAAGGAATAATATGGTGCAGCCAAGGCTGGCCAGATTGTCAGCAATGTAGTTGCAGCCGCGCATCCATTTTCATACCCTTACAGAGCAAAGGGTATTAATATTTCAGTCAGAAGTTTGCAACGCAATGAAGAAGACACCTCACCCCAAAAGTATATATGTGTCGCAGATTATTTTGAATATTAAAATTATAATTATTATTTGTTGGTACATCATTGTTTTGTTTCTTACTGTTTCTCCATTCTTTCGTGCGAGGCAGATATATAGTTCTGTCAACGTAGTTTGGCCGTGGGCATGAGTGATACAGATAGTGTATGTCATAATTCACCACACTGTGCGTGTGTATTAGAAAATGAAGAGGAATTGAAAAGACGCCGACAGGAGTTGTGAAATCAGTCTGGATAAAGAATTTGAACATGCCACGTGCCAAAAAACGTTTCGCCGAAAGTCCAGCTGAAGATTCTGATGGAAATGAATCTTCGTCATCAGAAGTGGGATCACCTCCGCCTCCAGCTAATGATGCACATCTTTTGTCAATTTTGGAGTTGCAAAATCGTAATTTCGCTGAACTAATAAAACAAGTGCAGTGCTCTCAAAATGAGCCAAAAGATGCCAAAAACCTTGTACTGCCAAAGTTTAACCCCGATCGTGTGGGATCAGACGCTCTGTCCTGGTGTTCAACAGTCGACTACATCTTGTCTGAAAACCAACTAGTGGGCAGCGCTCTTGTAATGGCCCTCAGCAGATCACTGGAAGGCACCGCATCTCACTGGCTCTCGCAGACATGTTTTCCCGGTATTACATGGACGCAGTTCCGAGAATTATTTTTGCAATATTTTTCTGGAACGGAGACTTTGGCCGCAACCGTTATGAATTTGCTAAATGCACGCCCAAACGAAGGAGAGTGTTTGTCGCTGTATGGGAGCAGAATGGTCACTTCGCTTATGGCCCGCTGGAGGTCACTCAGCGTCGAGCAGATTGCAGTATCCGTTACGTTGGCACATGCAGCTGGGATAGACAAACGATTGCGCCGTTTGGTTTTTACGACGGACATCAAAACCCGAAACGAGTTGCATCAGGAGCTCAAAGCCTTTTCGTTTGACGCCAGACAGAGCCAGCATTTGAGTGACAACTTCTCAGCACCACAAGGAAAAAGAGCCAGGGCTATGTCTCACATCACGTGTCATAACTGTGGTAAACCCGGCCACAAGAAGGCGGAATGTCGCTTTAACAAAGAGACAATTCAGCGTCAGCAGCTCCGTAATCAACAATCTGGATATATTGGAGCAAAAGATCGATCGTCCGTGATCTGTTACAAATGTGGAAAAGCTGGACATGTATCTACTGTGTGCCCGGATCGTCAGGAGCGTCCGCCAATCAAGAGTAATACCATCAAAGACGTGAACATCTGCACCGTACTTGAGCCCTTAGGAACGTTGCTGCAGTTTGGTGAGTCGTTCCAATTTTACTTCGACTCTGGAGCCGAGTGCTCACTTATCAAAGAGACTGCATCACTGAGATTATCCGGCACTAGAATAAACAACGTAGTGAGATTGAGGGGTATAGGTGGCAACTCTGTTAGCAGCACTTTACAGATATTGGCAAATGTTTTAATTTGTGAGCGTTCTTTTGAAATCTTATTTCACGCAGTTTTAGATAATTGTATCAAATACGACGCTCTGATTGGTCGGGAAATTTTGAGTCAGGGCATCGGCGTAACAATTACATCAAGCGCGCTTACTATGTTTAACACAAGGTCTGTATTACCTGTCGTAGTTTCCGAATTCACTCCTGACCTGGCTGATATTGATACCGGTTTGCATGGACAAGACAAAGATAAACTGCTATCAATATTACAGGGGTATTCAAATTCGTTCATAAACGGTATCCCACAGAGCCGCGTGACTACGGGACAGCTAGAGATTCGCTTGATTGATCAAAATAAGACGGTTCAGAGGCGCCCTTACCGATTGAGTGTGGAAGAAAAAGAAAAGGTTAGACATTCCATTCAAGAGCTGTTGGATGCAAACATAATAAGGCCCAGTTCCTCTCCTTTCGCGAGTCCGATGTTACTTGTCCGTAAGAAAAATGGTACAGACCGTCTTTGTGTCGATTATCGGGAGCTTAATGCCAATACTATTTCCGACAAGTACCCCTTGCCACTCATATCTGATCAGATAGCTAGGTTGAGTGGTGCTAAGTTTTTCACGTGTATTGATATGGCGAGCGGCTTCCATCAGATCCCAATACATGAAAGCTCTATTGAACGGACGGCGTTTGTAACTCCAGAAGGGCAGTACGAATACTTGGCAATGCCCTTCGGGCTTCAAAATGCGCCTTCTGTATTCCAAAGGGCTATTAATCGTGCCCTAGGTGATCTGACTTATACATATGCCATTGTTTACATGGACGATGTAATGGTAGTTGCACGAACAAAGGAGGAAGCTTTCAATAGACTACAAATTACTTTACAAGCACTCGCTGAAGCAGGATTTTCTTTCAACTTAAAAAAATGTTCCTTTCTTAAATCTTGTGTCGAATATTTGGGCTTCGAAGTTAGAGCAGGTGAAATTCGTCCGAATCCTAGGAAAATACAAGCTCTTATAGATTTGCCGCCTCCGCAATCTGTAACTCAACTGAGACAATTTATAGGACTGGTCTCGTATTTTCGTCAATTCGTACCCAAATTTTCACAGTTACTAAAACCCCTCTATGCTCATACTTCAAAAAGTATGTCATTTTTATGGGAATCGGAGCACGAGCAAATACGACAGAAAGTAATTTCTATCCTGACCAGTGAACCTGTTCTTACTATCTTCGATCCACAATTTCCTATTGAGCTTCATACAGATGCGAGTGCTGACGGGTATGGCGCAATTTTATTGCACAAAATCGAACACAAGCCAAGAGTTATCGAATACTTCAGTAAACGGACTTCATCAGCGGAATCTCGTTACCATTCTTATGAGCTGGAAACACTTGCAGTTTATAATTCTATTAAGCATTTTCGCCACTACTTGCATGGTCGACATTTTGTCGTTTTTACCGATTGCAATTCGCTCAAGGCATCTCGAACAAAAACCGAACTGACTCCGAGAGTCCATAGGTGGTGGTCGTACATGCAATCTTTTGAGTTTGACATTCAGTATAGGCCAGGCGAACGAATGGCTCACGTGGATTTTCTGTCTCGAAATCCCATATCAAAAGATCGCATCAAGTCAAAAGGTACAGTGGAAAAACATATAAATTTGACAGAGATTACCGACAATTGGTTGTTAGCTGAGCAGCAACGAGACGAAGAAACGTCGTCCATTGTTTCCAAACTGCGTAACGATGATCTTTCCGAGGATTTGGCCAAAACGTACGAATTAAGGGCAGGAACGCTGTACAGGAAAATCCAAAGAAATGGGAAAACTCGTTGTCTGCCTATCATCCCGAAGCCGTTCAGGTGGTCAGCCGTAAATAATGTGCACGAGTCCATTATGCACCTTGGTTGGGAAAAAACCCTTGAGAAAATGTACGAATACTATTGGTTTGACAAGATGTCCAAGTACGTTCGCAAATTTGTCGACAATTGTATTACATGCAGATTGTCAAAGCCCCCATCTGGTAGGGTACAAGCCGAATTGCATCCCATACCGAAGGTTACCATCCCGTGGCATACAGTCCACATGGACATCACAGGGAAGCTTAGTGGTAAAAATGATCAGAAGGAGTACATAATCGTGTCAATAGACGCCTTCACCAAGTTTGTTTTTTTGTCCCATACAGTGAGACTAGACACGGAGAATTGTATTAAGGCATTAAAATCACTAATATCGTTGTTTGGCGTCCCTTCCCGTCTGATTGCAGATCAGGGACGTAGTTTTTCTAGCTCAGCATTCCGTGATTTCTGCTCTGTACAAAAGATAGATTTACATTTAATCGCCACGGGTGCTAGTCGGGCCAATGGCCAAGTAGAACGAGTTATGAGTACTCTAAAGTCCATGCTAACGGCGCACAGTGGTCGGTCTTGTATGGAGAAGGCGGCCAAAAATACTTCCAGTAGGAATATCGAGTTGAAATTTTTTTTGTATATTCATATATGAATATGAATGTTATATTTTAAGTATCAGCACCATTAAAGCCAAATATATCCGCTACCATCGTGTTTACCATAAAATGTTCAAAATTTGACTCCCAAATGCATACTACACTTTTTTTTAAGCGTAACTGACAAAAATTATATTTATTAAACACTTAATTTTGGTTAAAAAATTAACAAAAGATAACAAAAAACGATGATTAACATAAATTTAAAGTAAAATAAAAGTAATAAAAAATAAATT